CAGGAAATCATAAAAAATGTATACAAAATAACAAAGAAACATACAATAAAAGTATATTATGTTCAGCACCAAAAATAGAAGAAAAATATCCTAATATTTCAGAAAACAAAGTAAACTTAAAAGAAAAAGAATCACAAGAACAGAATAACTGTATTGACAAAATAGAATCACCATCAAACAAAATTAAGGATATTACACAAGAATTTTATAAAGACCTTTCATATTTGCAAAAAAAGGAGAACCTAATAAATCAAAAATATCTTAGGTCAAGGAGAAAATCATTAAATATATTAAACAATACTAACAATGGTAAAATGCATATACAAATGGTTAAATTTTTACAAGATATTACAAGAGGTGCTAAGGTTGTTGTAAGACGTATAAGCATAAATAAATATTCATAACTTAATATAGTTCATTTTTAATGATAGAAATATATAAAACTTTCATAATATTTATCTTCAATTTAATTTATACATTTAATAGTAGTACATTTTGAATTTTTGTATGTGTATGCCATTTAATGAATATAAATGATAAATAAATGTATAATGCAGTTTGGAATCATTTTTTTGTGTGAGTTATTATGTAATGTAAATTTAACCTTCTAATAACTTATTAACCCAACATGTTTTTTCTCGTTCAATTTGATCCATAATTGCTTTTAAATTATTCAACTTATTCATAATGTATTGCAATTTAAAATCTAAATGGTCAAAGCACATTTCACTTTTATTAAAATTAAGATTCAAATATTCATTTTGTTCCAAGAAAGGTAGTTCATCTATTCCAGTCCATTTTTGAAATACCTTCAGCATCTAAAAAATATAATATGTTTTATAATTACAAGTAATTTGTTAATAAATGGGATCAAAAATTTAAGATAACTTAAAGCAAAAAATGTAAATATGATGGATTAATTCATTACATATAAAAATATTACAGAATCTATTATAAAAATTTATTACATTTATATCATTTTTCAATTTAATAGATTTTTTAAGTTCATTGGTACATCGAGATGGATATCGTTCTCGAGTATCACATAATTCAAAAAGAGCATCTTCACATTGTTGTTCGTAATCATCTAAAAGACCAAATTTAAAAAAATTGAAAGATTTGTTTATTTTAACCTTGTTTCTTAGTGCTTTAAATTTTTTGCATTTACCCATTATTGATAACGTTTAATTCGTTGTACTTCAAATTGAAATGGTATTATTTTTTACTAATGTAGAAGTTAAAATGTTTCATTCAAATTAGTAAGAATAAAGGAACTTGTTTATGTCAAAATTTTCAGCGCCATCAGATAGAAAGTAATCAGCTTTCCGTTATAAGAGATTTAAACGGAAATGTATAAATTAAATCTTGCTCTTAATGTTTTCATAGTTATTTATGAATTCATTTACATAATATTTTAATATACTAATATTTATTTAAATGAATGTTTATTAATTTAATGTACGAATAAATCAAATGTTCATACTATGTCAATATTATTCTTTTCTTTATTTATTTGATATTATATATTTTTATGATTTAAATAAATATTTATTTAGTCTTACTTTAATCTGCAGTTAGTAAATTATAGTATCTTTTAAATCTACGAAATACATTGCATTGTAAAATAATAGAATTATGTGACCAACGGAAATTGTTAACATCGAAATCTTCCGTCTGCGTGGCATTTGTTTGCTCCTACTTTCGCTGACATTGGCAAAGATGCATGATTTGCGATATTCACCGTTATTAAAATTGTGAAAAGCGTTATCTATATCGGCAAGAAACAATTACGTAAAAATAGTAATTCTGTTTTCTCAGTTTAATTAGTGTTGAGATGAAGCAACGATAGAAGAAGTCTGTGTTTTTGAAATTGTTAAAAAATATCAAATATATTTTTAAAATATCAATAACTAATCGTATTAATAATGGGATACTTAAAATCCATTGGTACGGTATTAATATATATCGGTTTTCTTCTAGCTGTCATTACTTTTCTACCAGGTTTACCTCCAAAAGCAAATTATTCTGAATATAGGTATAGTATTTATTTTATAATAATATAATTTTGGAACATATGAAACGAATAATTATGATCCTACAATAAACATTTAAGCATAAAATCTCCTTCGGATATACAAATTCCAATTGAATTAAAAAATCGATTACAAGGAGCAGAAATATTATTTCATGGAGTAGTTAAGGGTCCAGAATGTTTCACGTCATTTAATGATGAAATATATACCGGTATACGTGGAGGTTATGTTGTTCAAATTGAAAAAAATCGTATTAAACCAATTGTAAAATTTGGCCAAAAGTGTGGTATGTGCATGTAATTATTATATAATTATTACATTAGTCTGGACTTTTCTTTTTTGCATGCATTATTTTCTTTTACTTTGTATGGTGTGTGCGTGAGCGCGTACACACGTTTTGTATTATACATATGTAGTACATATATATACGTACATTTATACATTCATAAAGATTTAATAGTATAACAAATTTTTATATTTTATTATAAATATGCATATGTTAAATAAAGGTGATATTTACAGATGGCTTTTGGCAAGAAGCTAAATGCGGTAGACCTTTAGGTTTAAATTTCAATGATAAAGGAGAACTATTTGTAGCTGATGCTTACTATGGTATTTTTAAAGTAAATATTAATTCACGGCAATATACAAATATAGTCAATAGTTCTGAACCTATTGATGGAAAGATTCCAAAAATAGTTAATTCATTGGATATTGCAAAGAATGGAGATATCTATTGGACAACTTCAAGCACAGACTTTGATCTCCATGATGGGATCTATGTATGCTTAGCTAATCCAAGCGGAAGGTAAGTTTTAAATGTAGTTAATGTTTAATATGTATTTTCATACATAAATTCTTTTTCACAGACTTATTCGATACAATGCAGCAACAAAAAGAAATGAAGTATTATTAGAAAATTTAGGATTTGCAAATGGTGTCTTATTAAGTGATGATGAAAACTTTGTAATTGTACTAGAGTCTCTTACATCACGCATTATTAAATATAATCTAAAAGGTCCAAAAGCTGGACAACAAGAAATCATTGCTGAAAGTTTACCTGGTACACCTGATAATGTACATAGTGATGGACAAGGAGGCTTTTTAGTATCTATATTGACAGTTATAGATTCTAAGCAACCTTTGCTTTTTCAATCTCTTATCCCACATCCATATATACGAAAAATGTTATCGAGGTTACTTTATTTAATAGAAGCCCCATTTAAATTGTTGCAAGATGTTTATCCAAATTTTTATTCAGAAAGTGTCTTATATGCAGTAGGTTCATTTGATGTTGCAAATGTTATAATACCAAAAGCTTCAATGATAGTTAGAATGGATAAAACAGGAAAAGTTTTAGATACTTTGCATTTAAAAAATGCAGATGTGTTTGACATTTCTTCTGCTTACATACATAATGAATATTTATGGCTTGGTAGTCCATGGAATGATTATATTATGAGAATTCCATTAAAACAAGCATTCCCAGATTTAGTAATTAATTTGAAACCTTCAGTTGCAAAAGACCAAAAGCAAAATGAACCACTTTTAACAATTTCAACTACACCAAATATTAAAGTAGAAGCAAAATTTACAAAGCCACCTGTGAAGTCAACTATTAAAGCACAAACAACACAAAAGTCAAATTCAGATGCAACAATGTCAAAGGCAACCACATCAAAATCTGTCACATCACAATCTACCACTACTACTACTACTACTACTGCTACTTCAAAACCATCACTACCACCGCCATCATCATCATCATCATCATCATCATCATCATCATCATCATCATCATCATCATCATCATCATCTGGTCCAAAGTCATCAACAAAAGAGATTAAGAAAGATAATTTAAAAAAGATTGAGGAAGATAATTCAAAAGAAATTAAGAAAGATTATTCCAATTCACAAGTTAAAACTGAAGCATTACAAAAAAATAATGCACCAATAGTAAAACCAAAATCTGATGACTTTATTAAAAAAGATGCTCATAAAACTCAGGCTACAAAGTCCAAGTTTGATGATACAGTTAAAAAAGATGCTCATGAAACTCAGTCTATAAAATCCAAGTCTGATGACTCCATTAAAAAAGTTGTTCATGAAACTCAGTCTATAAAATCCAAGTCTGATGACTCTATTAAAAAAGTTGTTCATGAAACTCAGTCAATAAAATCCAAGTCTGATGACTCTATTAAAAAAGATGTTTATGAAACTCAATCTGTAAAATCAAAATCTATGAAGAAAGAAGATGATTCTACTAAAAATTAAAATAATTTATACAAGTGAAATTTCATTTCAAATTGAATTTAAAACTTCATTGTATTATTCTATTCCATGTTAAAAGTTCTACATATTTCAAACATATCGACTTGTTAGGTTTCACAAAATTTATAACGTACATACATTTTGTTATTTTATTGATAGAGATTATAGTTTTTACTTATACTTCAGAAAAGTGATATTTAAAAATCTCTGCTATTTTACTATATTTTAGTTTTCATATAAACAAGAATGTTTGAGATAATGATTCAGATTTATACATAAGATTAAGAACAATGTAATATTTTATACAAACACATACATATATATGAGTATATATGTATGTGTATGTATGTATTTTATTAACTCTAACATTATTTAATTGTATAATAAAGATGAGGTCCAAATGAAAAAACGAGAAATAATAATAGCAGAAGAGTAAGATTATTAAAGTAACTGTTCTATAAATAAAATAATTTGTATTTAGGTCACAGCTGTTTATAAAATTTAATTAAATTTCTTATTAAATCTGTTTTCTGTAATTATAAAAATAATATGACTCTTCCATTAAATTTTTAATTTCTATTTTTGTATGTGATGTAGAATATTTTTCTACTTAGAGTATTCTGCAATATGTGTATAAAAATAAGAATTAATATAACTCTTTACATCACTGCAAAATATTTGCAGACATATATCTTACAGTTTACCTCTAGCTAATTATTACATATGCAAATTAATTTTGGGCATGATGGTGTAAACAATATTCTTAATTTTACATAAAAGTTGGTAAAAGGGTAAATAACTAGCATAAAAATAAATTTTTTCTTTTTTAAGTATTGCCTTCCACTTCTATGATTTTGATTGCTATTATATTTTTCAAACATAAGCTTAATACCGTAATTAAGATAAATATATCATTGTTCAAGGATACAAGAAAAATGTATTTCAAGTATAATGTATAAGACAAATTTTATACTATAAAATTGTTTGCATTTAGGAATATAATACTATTTTTTATTAAAACGTTAAAAAAAATGTATTTTTTTATTATACTAAATTTAGAATAAATGAAAATATTTGTAGACATTCCATGTACAAAAATGTTGTATGGAAATTTTAACATACCAATATCTTTCTAGGTGTTTTGTAATTTATTAAAGATTGTTTTAATAAAATGAATTGTTTTGAAAAATGTTTCACAAGTTGAAAATATGAATTAAGTTAATAAAACACGTTAGAAACATTAAAAGTATAATAACATTGAATAAAGACATGCATAAAAGGTTGTAAAATATATCTTTTTACGTTTTCACCTAATTTTTATTCTTTTTTTTTGCCTGCAGCTCATTTAACTTCCGTTATCTGATGTATTTCTGTTTTATTTTTTTCCTACACTGTTTCTTTTTTTCTATTTTTCTGTTCTTTCTTAAATTTATATTTAAGTGATATTCTTGCAATTTCTTTCAAAGTTAAATTCTTGGAATCTTTTTTATTGTTCAAGACAACATACAACCAATCTCGAGCCTTTTCAAAAGGTAATAATTTATTTCTTTCCATTGTCTTTTCTTCCTATGTAAATATACTTTAATAACAATTAATACTTTCATTCATGATTAAGCATTGAAATATGGCTTACTATTAGTACATTTATCTTACATATTTAGAACTATGTATTTACTATTACTATGAAAATTATTATTATATTACACAAGTGTATACAGAGATTTAAGATTCTATGACAACATTAAATATATAATAAATCAGTAAATATTAAGAAAGTTATTATGGTTAATGGAGGCAGTTCTGACATCACTTAAATATTTTTTCACTTAAATATTTAATTTTCCATAAAAGAGTAGGATTTCTAACAAAATGCCAATGTCCATTTCTTCTATATTGTGCCCATTGTTGTGCTTTCAATAAATAAGTATGATAATTTAAGATATCTTTATCCTTTACTGTTAATTTTAAAGACTCTTTTGTTACTATAGCAAAACCAAGTTTTGTCAATTCTTCACCAACTTTTATACATTCCTATATAATTTAAAGTTATAAATTCATAAATTGAAAAAATGAGCAAATATAACAATTGTTTTTTACCTTATTTTGTTGCATAGATATAATACAAGTTACATAGTTTTTTTCTATAGCTAAAGGTATAAAAGTTATTTCTTTCCCATTAACGATCGTTTTCAACCAACTAATACCTAAAAGTAAATTCAAATTAAAGTAATATGTTCGTAAATATTTAATCAATACTTACCATTGGTTGTAATATCAAGATTGGCTATTTTAATTGGTAAATATTTTGTATTACTTAATCGAGGTAAAGGTATTAATGGCTTATGATCAACCATTAAAAGTGTATCAGAACCAGGTTCTATACATCTTACAGTACCTTGAAGTTTTTGTTGTAAAAAATGAGATGGTATACTGAATGGTTTTCTGAATTTAGTAAACTAATAATAAAATAATACAAGATATAAATAAATGAATTTTATATTCATTATCACATTATTAGTTATTATACATACAGGTTTGGTTTTATAACATGCAACTGCTAAGCTTATACCAGCAATGCCATAACTAAAAATCTGAAATTAAAAATGAATAGATATAATTTAGTATTTGTAAAATAAAATATAGGTTAGAATATACCTTTATCGTTTTGGAATTTGCTTCATTAAAAATGATTAATCTTTCCATAATATTTAATTTTTTCTCTGAAGTCATTATATTTTACTTTTTCGTTTTTTTTTTTAAAAAAAGCACTAATACCTGAAATAAGTTTATATAAATATATTATGTAGTTAATATAGCATTTGATCAGCAGTTATTTTTACATAAATTCTTAGTTATGAAAAATGTTACGAAAAATATCCTATATTGAATGTTAATATATTTTTCGTCTAAAGACATTAATGTGCAAATACATAAAATTTTATATTCAGATAATAATATTTTTTTAATATTTATTTTTATTAAAAATTATATTTCTATGTAAAGTATCTCATTAATAATAGGTATTGTATTAAACAACAATATTGAATTTATACTAGATTTAATATATAAAATTACATAATACAATAAATAATTATGAAAAATCGATAAAAGTAAAACAAAATAATAAAAATAAAAAATACTGTAAATAAATAAAAAATTATGTTTTACTAATTATTTGTGCGGTAAATGTTTTTTTGATAATTATAATAATCTTGTTAATAATCTTGTTAATAATTATAAATCAAATTTTTATATGAATTTTTTACTTTCATTTATGTATATACACATGTGCTGATATATGAGCCGATGTAAGTACTACGCTGACATATTTCAGCCAAGGTGACAAGCGGTGATGTTTTAGAAAGATCATCAGTATATATAACTTCTTAAACGAATATAATATATAAATCCTGCAAGATAATAAAAATAAATAGTTTAAAAACAAAACATTCGAACGATCAACAATATACTATAAAATGTTTCGTGATGGTCAATATTTAGAAGTAATTAAGGTATCTCAATTAACAGCTGTTAACAGTTGTCAATAGACGATCTTGTACCTACATAAGTAAAACAGAACTTGTGTTTGTAGGCTTCAGATAATTGTTTAGTTACGGCTGTTGTTACTGTTCAAGAAAAAATTATAAAAATCAAAGAGAAAAAGGTTTCAACTAATAAATGGCTTGATCTTGAGGATTGGGCGGCATTATATAAAATTTTGGAGAAGGCAATTTTACGCAATGTTCAAACGGAAGGGTCGCTTCACAACTTCAAAAAATGTAAATGGAAAAAATCTACTCGACAATTAGAAGTCACGTAAGAATTATTTTATATTCGATTTTAATTTTTCTTTTACTTATATAAGTTATATGTGGAAAAACTGTATTTACTTACATGTATTTATAAATATAAGTATTTATTTATTTATATGATTATATTAATTTACAATATTAAAATATTGTCTCTAATTTATTATACCTCAATCAAAAGAAATACAAATGTCAATATCTATATCATGATATTCTATTATCATTAGTTGTTCATATAGTAATTTTTATAAATCATAGATATACGTTTGAGCCATCAGAAAATGTAAAAAATGTTACATCATTGCCTACAATTAGAGTAAATGTGTCTCCTGCAAAAAGAAAATTGGAAAAATCAGAATTAGTCAAATTAACATTAGAAAAAAAAGACATTTGGAAGGAAATGACAGAAAAAACACCTAAAAAAGCTTCTAATCATATATATCAGAAAAATAGTAGCAATATTTCATCAAAAAAATCAGAAAACAATGATTTAGTAATGAAGGTATCAATTAATACGAAAAATGATAAGGTTAAAAGATATCTACCAATTGATAGTTCAGAAGATGATACGTTGGAGGAATATGTACCAAATGCACCTGTGACAAAAAAGTTATGCACGAACTTGAACTATATACCAAGTAGAAAGAGCACATTGGAACAAATTTCAGTATTTTCAAATGAATATTCTCCTATGGTATCAGATTCAAAAAACATAGCAGAAGTAGTTCGATATGTCCCAAATTCACTGGATTCATTGAAAATATCTTATGAAACATACGAACCTAGTACTACAACTATTGCAAACCATCCTGAAGAATATATTCCCAATTCAAAAGGGGTCAAAGCATCTGTTGAAGAATATTATCCAGACTTTACTAGTAAAACAATGAAATTTGATAATAGTTATGTGCCGTCAAGTGTTCAATTAACTAAAGAAAATTCGAAAAAGTTATTGGAAAGATATAAAATACCACAAACAGAAAAACACATGTTAAGACAAAAAGAAACATTAATAAAGTAAAATTAGACCTTTTTATCCAAAATGGTTTCAAAGCAAATATGGAATAAAATATATAGAAGTCAAAATACTATATTGTTTGTAATAAGTACAAAATACAAATATCTTTTAATTCTGTTATATCTTCGAACGGCACTTCTCTGTATAATAAACATAATTTTAATAAAAAGAACATATTTTCCATAAGAGTTTTTGTTTATTACTACTTGGTACTTATTTATAGAAGTATGGACTCATCCTTAACGATCATTATCTTCATTCTCTGAAATTGGTTCATCAATCAAATTTTTAATTAGTTCAAGTTTTGGTTCATTATTTTCTTGTTTAACATTTTCTTGTTGATCATCCATTTGATTAAGTTCTTCATCATCTGTATCATCATCTGCTCCAGGATGAGCAGGAACTTTGTATGATGGATTATTAGGTGTTTGCACCATACCCGGTTTTTGCCATACTTTTTGTGATTCCTGTGATTTAGTTTTTGATTAAACATTACTCATTGTATTTTAATTACTTATAGTTTGAATAAATATAAAAAGCAGTTTTAACTTACTTTTATGCCACTAACTTTTTCTATATAATAATCGTAAACAAATTTAGCCATATGTGGCATGTCCTCAATCTCCATTGTTGAAATAGATGGAATAGTATCGTTAAATCTTTCGGTGGGATAATGTTCTTGAGGGAGAAGCTGTAGTTTTAATGGTCGTTGCATCAACTGAGCAAATGCGGGTGTCAATTCAAAACAATTCTTAAAAAGCGACACTCTAGCAAAAACATAAAGGCCTAGACGTGCTCTTGACATAGCAACCACTAATCGACGTGCATCTCGTAAATGACCTACAGCTCGAGTTTTTACAAGAGATAATAATATATAATCATTTTGTTGACCTTGATATTTATCAACCGTTGTTACTTTATTTGGCCGACCTATCAATGGATTGCTAGCACATCTTATATTTATAACATCCCTTATTAAATGCTTTTGTCCATTATAAGTGGTTAATATACTTATTTTATCAGATGGATAACCAAGAAGGCGCATGTACATAAATACAGCTACGCAATACTCAGCTTCAGCAAGATTTTGATAAAAGTAGGCACTGGGTTCACTTTCACCCACTCCATTAAAATCTTCGACATTAATAAGTTGAAAGTCATATAAAAATCCAGCATTTGCCACTAAATACTCTGGACTATTTTCTACGTGTACGAGATTACCCAATTTTTTGTAACGCCAATTGTATAAATTGCAAATACTAGGTCTTGCACGACCTTGACCATCAAGATCAACTGTAGGAACACCTAATCGAACAAATCTTGCAAAAAGAGATTGCTCCATATTTGAATACTTCTGAAAGGCCATGTTTTTAATAACTGGTGGTAATTGATGATGATCTCCTATCATTATCCAACGTTTCAATCGATTGTATCCGTCTTGAGGATTTTGTAGTAATAATGGTATAAAGGTTTCAATCTCTAAAATTTGAGCAGATTCTTCCATAAGAATATTATCATATTTAAATCCCATATCTACAAGTTCACGTCTTTTAAGGGCAGCATGAGTACAAGTCATAGCAATAACTTTTGCTTCTTTAACTAATAAATATTTTGATCTATCTAAACCCGATCGTAATAATTCAAAAGCTCTAAATTCTTCTAATTGGGCAAAAATTCGCTCGATATATCTGCAAAAACGAAATTTAATTACAATTTAATTACAAGTATATTTTTCTATATAAAATCTTTATTTAATACAATTTTACCGAAAACAGCTACAAGCTATTTCAAGATCTTCTTCAAAGGTATTTCGTTTAAATAATGGCTTTGGTGCATTATCAAAAAATTTATGAAATGGAAATTCTTCATCTATGATAAAGAGAGGAGAAGATGAATTATTTCCTGTTCCTTGTCTTTGTTTAATTCTGGTTTCAAAGCGTTCCCATCTTGTCAGTATTTGGTACATAAAAAAGTGTCCTGCTGTTTCACATGTATAAGCTACATCACCTTTTACATTTAAAGATTCCTAAAAGTACTAATTTTAAATATTTCATGTGTGACAATATCATAGGCATACACATACATATGTATTGTCAATTACAAACCTGTAATCTTTGAACTTCCATTAAAAGATCCAAACGTTTAGCTAAAACATAGTTAACTCTACCATATCTGCTGAAATCTTTTTCAGTTTCTAATGCCTCTTCCCCATGACCAAGACGTAATAAATGTCTTTCATCGATATCGAGAGCCATAATTTTCTCAAAAAGTTGATTAAGAGCTTGATTAGAATGTGTAACTATAAGTGTCCTTTGATTGGGGAAATTATGATAAAGATTTGAAATAATTTGGACCGCAACGTCTGTTTTTCCAGTACCAGGTGGTCCTACAACCAGTGTCAATCCTGGTTGCATACCTGCACGAATGGCTTCAATCTGTGTTGGTGTAAAAGGAATCTGATTTCTGTAATAAAATTATATATAATATTGTTGCAGGTGACCCTTCTTTTATTATTAAACAAAAGAATAATATTGTTTTTACTTTTTTGGCTCATTAGCTTTATAAGGACCCCTACTGGGTGGTACATGAGGTTCAACTTTGATAACTTTCCTTATTGGTTCATTATTATGTTTTGTAAGTACATCTTCAAATATTAAACGGAAAGGTCGTACTAATTTTGATTCATCCTCAGTCGAAACTTGAATTTCGTATTGAGGGAAACTATTTTTTAAATGATTTATATCAAGAAATGTATCATTGAAATCCATTGTTGCAATTTCATTTGACATTCTATAAAAAAAATTAAAATTAAATATATGAAATATGGATCTCTTTAATATAATTTTGTATTTCAAGTGCAATATCTGTATCTGACATACCTTGAATAACGAGCAGCTCCAGGATCACCATATCCAAGAATTATGTCATGGAGCCAATCAGGTACAACACATTCTGTATTCATAAGCTCTCTTATTGTTTCCAAAACTGCTTTGAAGTTATTTTCTTTAGGTTTACGTCTCATTATGATATTAAAACTCTCATAAACATCTTCACCACCATGACTAGCATTATCCATATCAATTCTATATTGATTGCAATCTAGCCAAACTCTATATGTGCGAGTATCACCAGGTAAAATCGGTCGTGGTTCAGGACCATCTTCAATTACTCTACCATTTGAATCTAGCATACCTTCAACTTCACATCCTCGAACAGTTGTTAGTCCAACTTGTGGTACAAAAGGTAATTTGTGACTATATTTCGTACCTATATAAATTATAGAATTAAACACTTGCTTTAATTATATAAAATACTACTGAATAATCAACGTTATGTAATCAAATTTTACCAATTGGATTTTCTGGTTTAACTGTAATAAGAAAGCAAACATCATGTTTTCGAAGATTTTCCCATTCAGATTTAATCTCTTTACGAACACTTAAATTTATTGTGACATCAGCACGTACTCTAGATGGTCTTTTCTCACCAATATTAGGTTTTGCTACTTCAACTACAGCAAATTGTGTAATAGGTTGAGCCATTCTAGCCCAACCACCAAAGTAAACACCACCATCTTCGGCTCGCCTAAATAAAATAAATACTCATCAACACATTTTAATCATATAAATTTATTAAAAAATTGTAATTTACCAAGGGCTCAGTCGGCTTACAGCATCTTCAATATCTTGTCGGATTTCATCTATAAATATTTCACATAATGATTTTATAAATCATATTATTATTTAATTACATTTATTTTATACATACAGGTTGATTCAAGTCGAAAGAGATTGAAGTTCCTCAATAAATAATCATGCAGAGTAAGAAATTGTAGATTCAATTTTGGCAAAGCTAGACAACCTTCACCGGAAAAGTATTCTGTTGGTACAATGCTTTCATTCCAAATAATTTCTTCTGTTGGATAAAGTGGCATTTCATTAAGTTCTTCTAACTGAGAAGCTCTACGTTCGTGACGTGAAATCTGAAATTTACCATCATATTGAATTCTCTAATCCATTTTTTTTTCTTTTCTGTTCAACTTACTAGAAGTTCTCGAAGAAAATCTATATCATAGCGATACCAATTCTCTTTTTTCTCACGTTCTTCCGATGGTACTAAGTTGAGATAGCTAGCAATTGATCTTAATTTTTCTTGACTGAAGATTCATATGAAAAATGAATGTATTAATGATAAATAATTCGTTAGAAATGTGCGCAATAAGTGGAGTGCAAAATTTTAAGACATTACCTGAGCAAACCAAAATGTTTGTAAAGAGCTTCTCTCGTATCAACACTTGCCACATTCGCCAATGCAAAACTTCGTAAATCCGAGAATTTTGCAAAAACTGCTTTCTGTGTAGAGTTCGAATTTTTTTGTTGGTTTATACTTTTGTACCCCTTTGGCTTTAATACTTGAATGTCGATTCTAACGATAATGTTAATGATTTGACAAATGATGATGTAAGATTTATTTCAATGAGCATAACTTGAAAATTAGATTTTTATTTGTAAAAATTAAGATATCGATTAACGTATAAGCAATTTTTTTAATTTCTTGAGATAAAAGGGTATCTTATTCTTCTTTTGGGGAATCTTTTCTTTTTTATACAAAAAGGCTAAAAATCCTAATTTTGGAAGCAAAAATGTTTTAAGTATTTGAAATATGTATTATATTTTATACCTGAAGCGAAGTGATTTTGGTATAATGTAATTGTGTCATGTCATGATCAGTAAGAGGATCGCCGCTTTCTTCGTTGATTTCAAATCTAGCATAAAATTTCAACATTTCTAATAGCTGCAAAAGAAACAATACATAAAATGAACATAATTACTCTGATGAGTAAATAGGTAAATTATTAAAAACTAGATGCAAACTACATAACACATTATCATGGTTATTTATTTATATTTACAAATAATTTTCGTCATCATTCATTATTTTTTATATATTTTTATATTTTATTATATTCTAGATATTAATCTTATTTGATAATTTATTCTTTTTAATTTCTGCCCACTGTCTTTAAAGATAATTATTTAATAGTTTTATCTAAACATTCAAAATTCATGCTGGAAGAGATCGACAAAACAATAAGATAGTTAATTATTTTCTATAGCGAAAACGTTACATAAAAAAGAAGATAATACTATTGTAAAACAAGAGTACAAGCGCTTATAGGTCAATTATTCCGAGTACTAATATGAGTTAAATGTATCATTGTTCAAACCTATACTAAGGTCACATTGCAAGTGATGAGATCTTATATCGAAAAAATATTTACGGATTTATCCATGATACATTTTCAAAATTGCATAAATAAGATTAACGTAACATGACTTTTCCAAGTTATGCACTAAAGAATCGAAAAAGTTAATCTCGCATTGTATAATTCATTCAATTATTTTATTCTTCTTTGCTTGTTTAAAAATGATTTATATCATTTTTCTACGAGCTAAGTTGTGGAGCATATCATTTGTTTTCAAATTCAATGAGTAACGAATAGGAGTGGTTAGTGGAACCGGAGGATAGTTAAATCGAATAAAGGTTTTGTGAACCCGTTCAACAGGAACCCACTCTCCTCGTCAGGAGACAAAGAGATACTGAACATGGCCGTGGTGGACTGTAACTTAGTGGGAGAGAATCATGCTATCTCTGACTGGGTAGTTCATCAATGCTTCATCCACGATTGTTTCAGTTCCACGCGCAACGCAAGTGTGTCAATGTGTTGACTGTTTGTCGTTTCTTTATTTTTTAAACTTCATTCACCGTACAATTCGAACAATCATTCGTTCGAAAAGTGAATGGATGAACTAGTGGCTATAAAAGGCGACTTCTTTTCATGAAGGACCAACTGAGAGCAGTTCTCTACCGAGTTGATTGTGATACATTTTCTTTTAAGTTTAAAATGCAACTAAAAAAGCTGAACGTCCGTTGATAATACTCGCTATTAACATTCAGATGTTCATGAAATAAGACTAGGGGATAATATTATATGTATAACAGCAGATTTTTCAAAAATCGTTGAAATTTTGAAATATTTTGATTCATCGAATAATAAAAATACGATCCGTATTTTATATGTTTTTAATGGTGAGGATTACATAAACTGGTTGATTAGAGAGACTGAGCCGAAATTAGTGAGACCATTCGGTGAATTGCGCGAAAACAAGTTCATTTCACAGTGAACGAGGAACGAAGAAATGCGGTAACAAGAATCAGGAGATAATGTTGCTGGACGTGAGCTATAACAGGCTTTTAGGCACGTTGCCAGCCAAAGGTGCGTAAATTTATGCTGTTTGAATCTTTTTATTCTTTTTTTATTCTTATATTCACACTTCTACTAGCATTAAATATTTGTCAAGTATCTAAATGTTTTCGCGTATTCTGATGTCGTTTCATTAAGGAAAGACGCAATATCAAGTATGTCATTTCAAACAGCAATAATACCTAATAGTTCGAATAAGATAAACAACTAAATGTATTCTGAATTCATACGAATTTTATATTCAAGTTGTACGACTGTTCGATACGTAACACATTAAGAATTTTGTTTATGGTATACGAAAACGTAAACGCAGGTGTACTTTCGGAAATTTTTAATGAATTCGCCTGCGGAATAGTTAGCTGTTCCTTTGAGGAAAAAATACCAAGAAATTTTATGTACAATAATTCTTACTGCATCAAGCAAGAATTTTGTGAAAAAAAAAAAAAAAAGAAAAACGGAAAAGTTAGCATGTTTGTTACTTCCTCGTTGATCAAGTTGATACAATTGATAGAAAGAAGGTATCACAGGAGCAGGGAAAAGCTATGTGCGCTTGATATACTGACGATATAGTACACAACGTTATCGCAGATGATTAAACATTTCATGTTACGAATTTTCATGTTATGTACATTTTCTACGAAACTATCTCCTGTAAATAAGGTATTCTAAAAATAAAAAATCAGCAACGCGTGATTTTATCTGATCCGCGCGTGTTTGGCGAATTTTTCATTCATCTTCGTACGAAACAATAATAAATATCACTTTAGTGATTCGTGAAATACGAAGACGCATAAATTCTGAGATTTCGAGAAAGTGTGTTTTTAATTACAAAAACTTTCGATTGCAGTATTGTTCAGCCTTGCAAGTAATATATAACGACACCGTAAACAGTACTCCATTATAGGGCTCTTGTAATTGAATGGATTGAATTAGCGGTCATAATGTCGAGGTAATCATGAAAAGTAAGAGAATGCACGTGGTGCACGTGGCTCAATGAAAAGAGCGGTAAGCTACATGTGCAGGCATTGAAAGCCAGGAAAGGAACATAAGGAGTGTTTCATTAAAAAAGACATGTCTTTTTTCCGTTCTAATGCCACCGTTTCATACTCCACGTGTACACACAACTGTCATTTAACAGGGTTACAACAACCGAATTGGGTTTCTTTAAACGCAAATCTCTTCGTTTCCCGAATGAACGTGATCGATATAAAATTGTCTCTGCCAATAACGGGAACACTTTTCTGCAATACATCGTATCTTATCGCAAACAGAGAATTAATCATTTTTAGAAATATATTATTTATGTTTTCTTCACATGGCCACAGAAGAAAAGCATACAGCCTACAAAAGATGTTAGAATTAAAAGATTTCTCCTTTCTTTTCTTGTTCCGTTCGTTTATCTTGTTTGATCCTAGATTTTGTTGACAATTTCATCGCTTTATTGCTCTACTTGATCAATGCGTACTATTAATATCTTGATACAAAGATAAAATTCTGGAAATCGCTGCTGTGGAAATCGTGACGATACACACGAAAGCTCTTGCAGATTATCGTCGATACAAAACATGATATTAGTCACGAGTACCAGTTCGGGGTAAAGAGAATATCAGATATGTTTTAATCTCTATTTACATACACGCAGGATTTATCATATAGATCCCTTTTAAAAATCCTCTGGTTCAATTTCTATAGATAATTCTGTATAAATTTTATTAGTATCAATTAATCTAATCTAAATATCCTTTAATCTAATCTGCACAATCTAGTTCCTATGAACAACGAAAATTTCCTGAACCAACATATTGTGTACATAAATGAGAAAGAGTCACCCTTTTTCCAGGGCTGCTATGGGTTTGCCTGCTAACATGGACGATCTCATCAAGCCGGGCAATCGATGTCTACTGTTGCTCAGATCGCTTGATTTGGTCGTCTTTGATGAAATGCTCCGATGGCTCGAAAATTCATCTTACATGCCCATCCGGTAGTTACCTAATCGACCCCGATACGTATCCGACAGACAACTTCACTGTACTTTATGAGTATGGAAGACCATGGTTACATTTTTTGGACACGGAATACGATAAAATAGCAGCGAATAGGTGAACATATTTTAGTTATATTCTGTTTGCTTTTTACAGATTTTTTTTTTTCATAAATACGAAAGACGTTGTTTCCCGAGTGGTTTGCCTTGCTTAAAGATAATATGTCGAATTAATACAACACTGAATCAGTGATTTGCAGATATTCTACTCTAATTGGATGTCAACCTTGAGATTCTTCTTTTATTTATTTATTCTTTTCTCCGAATAGTAAATCAAAGATGAAGAGAAAAGATTAAGATTTACTTTTTGTATTTGGCTCCTTAATAAATTAAATATTTAATTTGTCGCTGATATTGTTTAAATTTATAGTAATACTCAGCAAACGTTTGATTTCCTTGAATATCTAGGTTCTGCGTGGCAAATCGGGGGAATGATAGCTCGCAAGTCGCTTTAGTATGTTTTGAAAGCGAATATAATACAGAGATAAGGGAATGGAAGAACATATTGTTCTGTATCCTTAGTATTATATCAGCTATTTTCCTGATCGTCACACTAGCAGTTTATGCTTTGCTACCAGAATTAAGAGAGGTTCAAGATAAGGCGATGATGGCTGTGGTCACATCATTAGCAGTCAGCTATATCATTCTTTCTATTCAGAATTTAAGGTCGCAAGAGGAAGGCGACTATACGATATGTATTTCTTTAGGTATCATATGTTCGAGTTCATTTATACATATTCATTTACCATATAGCCTGATTTAATTAATAATTCGAGTATTTCTTCAGGATTCATCTTATATTTTGGTTTTATGTCTGTTTTCTTCTGGTTAAACATCGTTTCGTTTAATATATGGAAAACAGTTTGGTAAGTCAAATAAGAATATTTTAACAGTAAAATATTTTTAAGCTTTGTTCCATTTATGCGTTATTTTTGCAGGTTTAAGGATTTCGTGATCAGAGATAAACCGCTTTTTATAACTTACTGTATTATTGGATGGGGTGGGCCAATATGCTTCTTGATAGTAAGTTTGATTACTCATCACATAAAAGGACATCATTTAAAACCCGGTTTCGGAGAACGAACCTGCTGGTTTAGTGGTAAGATCAACATGTGCGAAAATTTAATAATCTTTATCGACATTTATTGTTATTACACAGTAATTATCATCTATGTCGTGCTTTGCAGGCTCGGAACAAACGTGGGCGTATTTTTATGGGCCAATCGCGATTTTATTGACGTTGAATGTTATCTATCTTGGCTTAACTGGGTGGCGATTGTGGCATCAGTATCGTAACTATAGCGAGAGCAAGTTACGAGTACTCCGTTTCAAATGCCTTCTTTACGTGAAATTAATATTCGTCATGGGTATTACATGGATCTTTGAAGTGATTTCGTACGCCGATCAGACTAAAAATGATTTATGGTAATATTTATTCTGTTCTTCGTTAACTTTTTTATGAACAAAATGAAGAATAAATCCATCCAACAGATTCATTTTCCCAATTCCCTAAAAATGAGAGTTGATGCTGATCAACTTCGTGATCATATTTAACCATAAATTTTTATTTCTAATTCCAATTTAGGATACCAACGGATATACTGAACGCGTTACAAGGCTTCATAATATTTCTATTATTAGTCGCGATGCGAAAGCGTGTAAGAAAGCTGTTGGCAAAAAAGAGACCTTGTGGAATCGGTTTTCCAAAATCTTGGACAGCTTACGAGGACGAAGAATGTGAAGAAGTACTACCTGAAGAAGTTGAATTATCGCAACATGATTAGTGTTTTTAAGAACCTTCTTTTCTTTCACTGATAGGACGTATAGTTTTTATACAACTACGCTCAATTAGTCAGAGGTGATCAGGAATAAGGACAGCGACACTAAAAAATAGTCTTATTTAAGCAAAATAGCTATACAAAGATGCTATATAATTCAATACTCTTTACCACCTTGTAGCTATCTTACCATTAGCCTAGTCGGCATTTTTTATATTGAAAGCATGCTGTTCATAGTTTCGATCGTCGTATACGTAATGGTAATTATCTTAGAATCTCTAGAAACGTTGCCGAACAACAAATACCGTGTTAATTACTGTATCACTTATTATCGCGCGACTAATTCTATCGATTGTGATTTAGCTAGAGAAAATTATTAGTGTTTGGCTTTAGTATATTTCTCAAGACGTCAACGAGTTATCGTGGCAATTTTGTATAATTACTTTATTGTTTCCTCCGAAAGCACTCGTATCAAACTTTCTCATTCTAGTCGATTGACGTGGTACCACTTCCGAGTTGACGATTCATTTAAAATTACGTGTGCCTCTGACGTCTTTTGACTATTAAAAACGTGTTAGTTGAGACATATTGCAAACGTTAAACCACGTACACCGAAGCATATGAAACATTTGTTATTCATCTTCTAAAATATAACTAAACCAAAAGAAACAAAAATTGCGATAAGAATAAAAATAATTATTGATAGTAATAAAATGAAGAGTCATTTTTGTGATTGGCGTCATATCATTACCATAATTTTTAATATTATTTTGCATAAATTCTACGACTTTTTTGTAAAAATCAAAATTACTTTAATTCTTGATGGAAATAATTTGCATATAGCGAATTTTATAATTTAGAAAAATTTACAAAAGGAAATCTACGGTATAAAAAGAAAATCAATATTGGATCAACATTGTCACAGTCGCATTATTCATTGAATGAAACTGTTACGATAATTAAACGGAACAACGTGTGCAAGTAATCAAGTAGTCTATAAAATAAAGACGTGATAAACGAGAATGCTACAAAGGAACAACGTATTGACTGGACTGCCCACACGTTACTATGAGTAATACGCGCATCGATTATACAGAGATGAGGATTTACATTGTCGTGTGCCACACATACGAATACAACGCGTTTTGCATGCTAATGAAACAATATATTATTGATCAATATTTTATTAATGCAAAGAGTGTTGCAATAAGAAACGCGTATGCCTTAACAAGTTTGTGCGCAAGATTGGAGTTTATGTTTAAATTATGAAAAATTTTAGACTTTTCCTTTTTTCCTATTCTTTCTTTTTTTTCTTTTTGTTTTAATTTATGTGGTATAGCAATACAATCTAACACTCACGTATAAGCAGTGAATTGTTTGCAAGATATTTAAATTTTAATTCGTAAACGTATAAGATGATTTTCCTGAAAAAAAAGAAAAAAAGGATAAAAGATAGCTATTTATGTAAAAATCTGTTTATTCGTCTATAGCACTTATAGCGTAGTTCGTTTCGAACTTTTTAACACGTTATTTGTAAAATATCTACATTTGTACATTGAATCAGTACAATTAGTTACTCTGTATAAATAAAAGTGTAAATAATAAAATAATTGAAATATATGTCTTTATATCGACTTTATAAATAAATACATTATTATACAATATATGATAACTGATTGTTCCTCGTATTTCACAAGATGGTTTGTACTGATAAAAGAAAATATGTTTAAATTAGCTTCTGTTTTGCAACTGTAATAACATCGTGTGAAGAAACAGAAGGAAGAATATTTTAAATGCAGTTTGTTTTAATTTACTACAAATTATTAAAGTTTAGAGTTATAATTTTTACCTTTTGCTTATTATAAGATTTATAATTAAAAACTGACGTGGAAAGAAGTGCAAAATGGAGAAACGTGAGATCAAGGACGAAAGAATTATGCAGTATATATATATATATATAGAGAGACGTTCATGTTTGTGCAAAAAAAAATCGTGATATAACCATGCATAAATAATGAAATGGCAGCTAATTGTATAAATTCATCATAGGCCGTTCATGATAAGTGATAAATGATCGGGTTGTATAGATAGTAATAAAAATGTCGCAAAATGAAGTAACATTACTCGAGAACGATAGATACGAGTATTGGAAGAAGATAATAAAGCTCGGGCAGAGTGAACGAGAAAGGTAAGGATGACTGGCATGGAGGGGGAAAAAGGGAAACGATGAGACAGCCACAAAGAAAGAGAGAAAAAGAGAGTAAGCGAACCGGCGCGTGAGCGAACAAACGAAAGAGAAAGAGAGACAAAAAGATAGTGCAACAGAGAATGGGAATGGATCGGATACGATGGCGGCCGGTATGGCAGGGGTAGGTCTCGCTAGGCGGGTAACCCGCAGGCGGCATTGGCAGGTATGGTGATGAACACACGGGAAGTCCATCGTCGTGTAACGATGAACGAGTGAATAACAACGCCCTCGAGGTAACCGTGGCCCTCGCGAAATCGATCACGACCAACACTAATTCGGCCACAACAGAAAATTGGTTAGCGAAAGCAAACCAATGTACAGAAACAAAGATACGAGAGTAGCAACGGTGCCGATTCAATGACATGTATTATCTCGTGAGTGCATTACTTATCATCATCGGTACACTAGGGACAAATCATCCCCTTCTTGCAAACACTGATGAAAAGCCAAATTTAATCAGCGTGGCAAAGTGTTGTGAACACAACGAGCTTCTTGTTGACGACACGTGCACGCCATTGACGGAAACAAACGAAACGGAGTGGCGACCGGAATTCGTGGAAGAGAATATCAACGGTATTTCAAAAAGCAGACCGGGTAAACCAAATTATCAACTAAAAATTGGAAGACCCGAATGTCAGTCTAACGAACACCAATGGAATGTATACCATTATCAATCTGGGGAAGATCGACTTGCGATATTGACAACTGGTGTATTGCGACATTACACCACCGATTTGACAAAAGGAAAGCACAAACATAGTAGTATAGCTGGATTCGATGCTGCGGATTCGTCGGATGAAGATGATCTTGAAACAGTATCTATTCATTATGATTATCCATTTGGAGATTATTGCGCTGACAAAGCAATTTTGAGTAGAGATCGACTAGTAGCAACGTATGCGATGATTTGTGTACCCGATGTAGTAGTCAGATGGTCCGACACAAATTATTTGATGAAACATGCGATTGATCCTACTTTTCATGCAATATCAATAGCTAGTTACCTGATTGTTGCAGTTGTCTATTTTGTTCTACCACAACTGCGTGATCTTGTGGGAAACATGATAACTAGTATGACTCTGTGCCTTATAACTGGTCAATGTGCATCAACAGTCAGAATCTTTACAGAATTCGGCAATCACGTCAGTTTTATGATTGCCGGTACATATATAGATATAAAATATTCATAAAATGCAATTAAGCTTTACTTGCATTTAAAATCCCTCCAATTATAGAACATTTAAACAACTTACTATGAGAATATTTATTTTTTCCAGATACTGTCATGTATGTCTCCTTGCTAGCCGCATTTTTCTGGCTGAACGCTTTGGGTTACTACGTGTGGAGCACTTTTCGTTCGCGAAACGTATTTTTAAGAGTTACTGACGGTAGAAAATATTGTTATTATTCAACATACGTTTGGGGTTCAACTATATGCATAGCTTGCACAGCAATTTTTGCACATTTTGCCTTAGAAACCAATAAACCTGTCGTAGGTGGAATGATGTATCCACCTCAAGAAACAATTGGTTGGCTCGGAATCTCTGTATTATTTACATCAATCGCATTTACGATAATGATCGATTTATGTTTTGTATTAACAACCGCGAACAGAATAAAACGAATGAGCACATACGGTCGAATTCATCATAAAATGAAATACAGCTTTAGAATGTTTGTTTTCTTATTTGCGATAATGAGTATTGGTTGGTTATCACTATTACTGTCGAGATTGAATTACGAAGCATTGGAATATTGTCATATTGTTATTAATTTGTTACAGGCAATTTTAATACTCTATGTTTGCGTGTTTGGACAAAGAAGGGTTACATTTTTACTTGGTAAAACATGTAATTGCTGTAATTCAGGAGAAAATATCGAGGGGCTTGATTGGGGCGAAGAAATGACCGCCATTAACGCGGGATATTAAAGACTTTTTAATTTATAAAATTGATTATGAAATTCGATTTCAAATGATAATCGGGATTATTTTGTTATATAAAATCAATCTGCTTTGCATTTTTAAATCAACATGTTAAGTGAATTGAACAAATTTTAATTGATTAACTCTTTTCTAATGAGGAACACTTTTATAATTTATTATCATAGACTATTACATGATGAAGAACAAATCGCATTAACTAATATTAAAAAATATGCGATTTATTGGGACAAAAATATATCATGTTCTTAAATAGTAGAACAAAATATGTATATAATGGTATTTAATTACAAAAATTCTTAAAATCTTCAAAATTAAATTGTTCTAAAAAAATAAGATATATAATTGTTGATTGCTTTATTGCTTTTAGCACAAAAATCTAAATTTATCTATTTATGTATTTTAAATATTTAACATTTATAATTATTTATAATTATGTGCCTCGGAACAAAATTCCTCTTACCTTATAAAAATGTGCACATGTAAAATATTCTATTAATTTATCACAAAAAATATAAACATTCATAAATACTATTGTTACAGCTATTATTTTTAATAAAAATATCATCTCCTAAATAATTTTTTACTTTTAAAATATTCATGTAATATTTGTATAGATATAACTTTTGTATAAATGATGTATCATTTTTATAAAATCGGTTTCAATATACTCTTTTAAATATACCAGTTTGTTGCTATTTCCTATTTGTTTTAAAAAATTTTTAAATACAACTTACCTGACCAAATAATTCACCTTCAGGACGATGTAATAAATTAGATAATTGACATCTTACTACCAAATGACAGTCATCCATAACAGTATTGAAGAAACGTCTAGTTGGTAATAAAGCCTCTAAGTCTATTACTAGTTCAAGAAATCTCTCACAATATCGTACTTTATCTGGTAAAAGTGGTCCTGTTGAAAAATAAGCAACAAATTGACATAATTCAAGAATGTTCTTGAAATACACAAGGCTATCTAGATTTTTATTTGATTTACTTTACCTTCATTTGAAATTGTTTCCAATATTGTCATAAATTTTATCATCAATTTATGTAAAAATTTACGTTCCCATTCTAACCTTTCTTTAAATTCAGGACTGTCTTTTTTTCTTATAACTTTCCAGTATTTTCTCCACTTTGGATACTTTCTAAACTCCAATTCTCTACGTCCTTGTTGTAGTGAAATCCACATAGATAATGACACTAATCGTTTTACTTCTTCTCTAACCAATAATACTTCCATGGAATTAAAACAATGATTTAAAAAGACAATCAATGCTGTTTGTTCTTTCAAATCAAAATCCATTATACTTTCATCAAGGCATGCTTCTAAAACTTTTTGGAAAAACTCAGGAAAATGTTCTGGATTTTTTTCAAATGCTTCCCAAACCTGAACACGTTCTCGAAATTTTTCATTAACCATGACAACAATAGACATGGTATGAGCACGAGTTGCAGTTTTTGCATTATAATTTGGCCATAGAAAATTTTCTAAATATTGACTAAATTCTAACATCATAATTCTTCGAATAGAAAATTTAGATGCACATATTTCTTGAACATAAATATCTTCCACTATGTGAGAATTAAATGGAAGATGTGAATCCATTGTATGTGGTGCCCAATATTTATTTGCAAGCTACAATTATTTGTTAAAATAGATATATATAAATTTCTTTTCCAATAAAGAGGAAATACATCTAATTCATGTAACAAAACAAATTTAACAAAAAATACCTGAGTTATACGATCAGCATTAATTTGTTCCACTGTGGGAGCAGGATTATTACTTTTAACTGTCGTGCCGTTTTGATTTTCCATGTTAATTTCCATTAATTATTTAATGTTTACAATATAACCTATTTTAAGATAAAAGTTAAAAATTAATCAATATTATGTGTGATAATAAGTAACGTACATTTATGTAATAAACTATACACGATAATATATATAATTTATTTTACTTCTTTTTAAGTAAATCTATATTTATTATATTTATTCATATTTATCAACAACTATTGCATACATAATTTTAGATACAGTTTTTATACTTGCATTGCACACAATATAGAATAACATCACAGTTATTCATTGGTTAAAATAAAACTTCTACGATTACTATTGGTTAAAGAGAATAGTTAAAAGAGTCAAATATAAATAAATTTATAATTATTAACTAATTTACTATTTTATAGTCAAATATTTAAAAAGAGAAGAAAAATAAAAGTTAATTCTTACGTTTTTTTCTTTTTTATATAAGGCGCCTATTTTATTTTTATTTTTATTACAACTTCTTTTATCTGTTGATGGATGATTGATCACTTTTGTACGCACATGCAAAATGTAAGTTTGAATTTGATTGAAACATACATGAAAGTGTCGGTTAAAGAAATTGTATATATTTTCAAAGTATTTGATTTTTAATTTATAACATCATTACAGATATTAATATCATATCATATTTTAATATTTAAAAATATTTTATAAATTACATATTATCAATTTCTAAGGGTTATTGAACAAGTTATCATAATGTCGAATTCAAAAAAAGCTAAAGTAAGACGTGCTAGTGACTCGATAGATATTAATCCTAAAAGAATGAAAATATTAAATGAAGATAATATTGAAAGTGAGGATAATAATATAGTTACAAGTGATGTATCACTTAAAGATATTTCTGAACAGTTATTATCACTGGAACGTAATTTAGCTATTGAATTAGGAAAAATTACATTTCATTTACCAGTGGAATATATTTATAGTCCACTTGAATATGCATTTAATATACACACTATGTATGTACAAAAATATTGTAATACTGCTAAAAAAATATTGTTTCTTGGGATGAATCCTGGTCCTTGGGGTATGTCTCAAACTGGCGTACCATTTGGAGAAATAAGTATGGTTCGTGATTGGTTAAAAATTTGCGGACCTGTTGGAAAACCTTCCAAAGAACAGCCAAATAGGAAAGTAACTGGATTTCAATGTACTCGCAGTGAGATTAGTGGAAAAAGATTATGGGGCCTCTTTAAAGAATTATGTGGAAGTCCAGAAAATTTTTTTCGACATGCATATATACATAATTATTGCCCTATTGCATTAATGAATAAAAAAGGCTGCAATATTACACCAGCAGAAATAAAGGCAATATTTTTGTAGTTACATATTTGTAGTTGCATTTATATATAACTAAATTTCATGTATTTTTAGGGTTCTACGGTACAAATATTACATTCTGCTTGTGACAAGGCTTTAGCTAATACAATTAGAATATTACAAGCTAAAGTTGTAATTGGCATTGGTGGATATGCAGAAAAGCGAGCACAAACTGTAGTTCAATCTTCAAAATTACCTGTTAAGGTATTTATAAAAAGTTAATTTAAAATGTATATAAAAATATATTTACTTCTTTTATATTTTTAGGTTTTATGTCTACCTCATCCAAGTCCACGTGCTGTGAATAATAAAAATTGGAGTGAAAAAGCAACAAAAAAGTTAAGTGAGTTTGGATTGCTTGAATGTTTTATAGATTAAATTCATTTTACATTAAAATAGGAACATGTAACCAAAAAATAAGATTTTCTGTTCTTTATTAATATTAAATATTTCTGATGATGTGTTATTATCATTTTATATACTATTGTGTGTGTTTGTGTTTGAGAGTATTTACATGAAAATTTATAGACTAAGTTATTGAAACATAAAAGAAATATAATGAATGTTTCAAACTGGATGCATATTGCTTTACAAAAGGCAAATAATTCATTAAAAGTTGGTGAAGTTCCAGTTGGTTGTTTATTTGTATACAAGAATGAAGTCATTGCTATAGGTAATAATACAGTTAATGAAACTCGTAATGCAACTCGACATGCGGAAATAAATTGTATAGATCAAGTTGTAAAGTATTGTGAAACAAAAGGTTTAAACTATAAAAATGTTTTTTGTAACATTGATGTTATTGTTACTGTAGAACCATGTATAATGTGTACATCTGCATTATGTCAGCTACAAGTATGTAACATTATATATGGTTGTGGTAATGATCGTTTTGGTGGATGTATTAGTATTTTTGAAGTACCAAAACTTTATAATGCAAGAACAGCAATAATGGGTGGTGTTAAAGGCGATGAAGCAATGACTTTATTAAAAGAATTTTATAAAGGCACAAATCCAAATGCACCGATATTAAAGATGAAAAAAAATCATAATAAGAAAGATACATAGAAGGTTGCAAACAAAAATTTAATCATTTTATTTTTTATTTAACTATAATTTATTGAAAAAGTTTTTAGTGTTCTCTTTGATTTAATTCGATTTAATTTTAACAATATAATATACAAAAAATAAATACTAGGTTACAGGATTTCAAATAAAAAATTGAAATAGTATTATAGATAAAATGTTATGTGTACACTGTCATTAATGCATATATGATATACATGTATTTGTATTGTTCATTTTATACTTATTTATAATGATGTAACAATATATCTAAAATAAATTCTGGCAAAAGAATTTATGAACACCATGAATGATCTAATTCACATTTGCCTTGATACCATCTAACAAGTAATTGATTTTTTAATGTATAATCTTTCAATACCATATCTTTTGTCTGAAAAGTATAATTGATATTTATTTGATACTCATTAAGTAAAATTAAAAAATTGTTTAAAAACTTACTATAAGAGGTGGAAAGATTCTTTGAAAATCCATTTTATTTTGATGTTCCAAATAACTTTGAGATAAAATTAGTTTAATTTCAGGTATAAAACAGGGACTACATAATTGACATTCTACACGGAAACAATCATTACATTCCATGCAAAGTTCTGGTAAAACCATTATATTTTTGTCAGCTACTTCCATTTGCTCTTCCATTACATTTCTAAAATGTAAAGATAAGAAAGAGTTGTAACATAACATTATTTTAAAATGCTATTAATTTAATTATAACATTATGAGACCTTATTTTTAGAGAGTCTTTCCTGATTCTTTGACCTACACCAACTAAAGAAAATAAATTGTATATAACTTGTTCATAAAGTAATTGGTTTGGTGGATAATGTGCTGAAGATAAATTTGGAGACATATTTGCTTCCATGATATAAGTATTTAAATATTCATCAAGAGCAAAATCAATTCTAATTAATTCAAAAAAATTTCTGCTATTTTTGAAACGTTTTACTGCTTCTATGATATAACTTTCTTTCAACAAGATAATTTCTTTGATTGCTTCACGTATACCATTCCAAACTTTATCAGGATCCTTTCCTTGCGAACGTACATAAGCATCAAATGAATCTTTCATTGAATATTTTAATTTAGTATAATAATGCTTCAAAGATGGAACATTCCAAATTGGCAAATAATTATCACCAACTACATATTTGTCCAAAATCTCAGAATCGAATGGGTAATATTTTATAGGACAAAATCTAAAGAGAACATCACCTTTGTATATGTATATTCTAAGAGGATCGACGGATGTAATTACGGTGTATACTCCAATATCAAATTTATATCCATCTACAAGAAATGGTCGCTGTATAAATTCCTGTACAAAAGATCCAGTTTCTGTAACATTTATATTGCTCACATTTTTTACGCTTATGCCACGATGATCGTTTGATTTCTGTACGAACGTTTTTTCAGGATGTTGAGCAGCATACAAAAGAAACTTATCGCGTTGTTCTGGTATTTTAAAAGCTGGTAACATATAGCGACATTCTGTCGTTGATAAATCTACTTTGTTCGTAATGTATCCGCAACCAGGAAAATGATTAATGCGTTGATGAGCTTTTAATTTACTTAAATCAGAACTTAAACTCCTAAATGGATAATCATGTGCCCACAGTAAGTCCCAATTAAATGCATCATAAGTTCGTTTAAAGCCCAAACGTTCTAATACAATAAAAACATGTTTTAAATATCCAGTATCATTATTTTTCGTATATATTCGATATAATGGATTTTTTTCTGTTATTTTTGGGATTCTTTGGTGTACTTTTATTAAATTTTCTTGATAATGTAGGAAGCAAAAGAATAAATAATACAGAATTATTGGGCCCACAATATAATACAAGAAAGCTTTTAAAAGTGTTTTTACTTTTAAACTTGTCATTTGAGTATAGACTATACAGTTAGTATTCTGTAAAGATAGATATTTTTAAATCATTGATTCAAGTTTATCAAAATGGTTAAAATAATTATGCAACTATTAAAGAAGTTTACAAACCTGTTTACCTGACATAATTGAATATGTGATTCTAATAGTAATTGTCAATGAAATTCCGTACCTATATTCAAACTACTGAATTCTAATCAATTTATGTACCGTTAATTTTCCCCGCTATACCATTCACTTTTGATTGAGGACATACTGTTAAGAACCGGTTTCTACTCGTAGTTCGTGTCTTATATTTTCGTTCTTTTAATATTTAATTTAACTTTTCTGTAAATAATTTAAGATAATATAAACACGTAGAAATTATTTCCCAAGAATAAAAATTATTTAATTTATAATTGCAAAAAATTATAATAGTTTGTAAATCTTTATAGTAAGCATTCTATTTTTGATAATATTAATATGATGTATATTAAATTATTATACTTATACATTGTAATATTAAACACATACAACAAATATAGATTTTTAAAAATACTATTTGATTCTTTATATCGTTTAAAAATTGGCGGTAATCACTTTGTATACGGTGCTGTGTGTAATGTAGTGTTGCGAACTAATGGCGTTTCCTGTCTTTTAGATTCTTGAATCGCTGCTGTTAGCATTCCTGTAAAGAAGAAATGGGTTTCCAAAATATATGGTATTCGCATCCACGAAAGTATGGACAAGGATCTAGGTCTTGGTAAATATTAGCATTTTTATTATATTATATCTTAAGTAAATGAATTTATATTACAAAATTATATAGAATTTATTTTAACCGCGTGTCACCAACGTTTATTCTTTTAATTTCTACTTTCAATTTCAAGAAGAGCTAAACATATATGATTTTTAATATAAATTATTTAAAATAATAGAAAATGTGAATTATTGTACTGTCGTTATAAATAATAAGTCAAATTAGTCAGTTAATTAGAAAAAATGTTTATTATATTTTTTTAATATAACCTCAATGGTAACCTAAATATTACGCATAGTATATGAAATGTACTATAACTCTTTTTCAATATTGTAATTAATCATATTACACTGTTTTTCAGTCGTGCTTGCGCAAATAGACATGGATTGATTCGCAAATATGGCTTAAATATTTGTCGACAGTGCTTCAGAGAATATGCTGCTGATATTGGTTTCAAAAAGGTAAAAAATTTCCTTACATTTAAATCTGCATTTTTATATATTTATTTTATAAATCTTTGAATGCAATTTAATGATAATTAGAATTAGAAAATATTATTTTGAAATCAACTACTTTTTATTTACAGTTGGATTGATCTGTGGCAACAAAGTAATAGTTACAATTTTGCAAACTTCCAAATGTAAAACTCATATAAACATAGAAACTTATTAATATACAAATTAATACCAGTAATTTACGATGTTTATTTACACTTGGATTGGCTTAAGAAGAAACTAAATTATATTGTATTTGACTTTATTATGATAAATAAAAATAATTATTTACATTAAATATTTTTGTATCATAAATTTTATCAACTTTTGTTTTTTATCCTTTTTGTGTATTTCTCATTTAAATACTCATATTCTTTATGTATACTTAGGTTTTTAGTTGTAATTATACATTATCATCAATATCTGATGTAATTAATAAAATTTAGTTTCAAATTGATTACATCATTAGTAAGTATACATTGTAATAATAAATAAAAATCAATATTATTTTACGTAATAATCTTGTCTGTTAATGCTAACAATGTTTCTGAACAAAAAAAAATAATTGCCAGGGAAATAACTAAAAATAATAGGGGAAGAAGAGGTAAAAGCGCTTTTGTTTCTAGTTGCATCGCTATTATATACTATTTTCCTTGTAGCTTGCCTTGTCGATTTATTGTAAATATTTCATTACATTACATTGGTTTCATTTTGTCATGACACCACATCGCCGATCCACTGTAATTATATCCCAACCTCTTTCTTTTTTTTCACGTGGGAGAAATCATCTAAAGATATCCCGGTTGCGGAAGAGAGGATCCTTCCCCATAGGATACCCCTGATGGAATTCGTCCCCAGAGAGGAAGAGAATTCATTCCGATAATTCACATGGAGATTATGCGATTCTGTACGACTATACGCGAGCGCCTACTCTTCTCCGAACGCGATCTCTTTGACAACCGAACCCGCATTTGTATTACCCGCGATACTTCCAGGTTACAGGCACTGGAAAGAAGGAGATACCTTCACGTGTAGTACAATTATATTATAATTTATGAATGCAACGTTAAATATGTGAAAGTTTTGTTTGTGCTTCCTCTCAATTTTCGGTAAAAAAAAAATATAGATTTACCATCTTTCAATCTTGCAAAGTAATTGTAAAATATCTTATATTTTATTAGATTTAAAAATAATGTTCCAGTATTTTGTAAGTCCTCTAACCTTAGTTGGTGAATCTGCATCAATAATTTATAGATCCTGTACGGCAGTAAGTTTTAGATTTTTATTAAAAAAAGTTAACATTAATAATGAAGATTGTATAATTGAACATTTCTAGATTATATAATATTGAGGAAAGTAAAATATTATATGTATTTGTATTATAATGTTATAAGACTGTAAAATTGTTGAGTTTAATATGTTGAAATCAAAATAATATTACTATATATTAAATGTTTGATTTATATTATTATAATAATCTTTAAATTATTAAATAATATGCAGTTATCAAAATTATAATTTAATAATTAGACTGTTAATAAAAGAAACAAAATGTTAACCTAAAATTTTTATTATTTTGTTTTTATACAGATTTTTCAATTGATCATTATAATATCACTATTGTATATTATTGTAATATAACCTTGTTTTTAGAATCTCATTAGTAAGAGTAAATAACTGTAAATAATATAAAAACTTGCTTTTGTAATGTATTTATTTACAGTAATAAAATTTTTAGATTTATGTGAAAAATACATATTATTTTAGTCATTTTTATTAGGTTCCACAGTATTTGGGACTAACAACAAATGCAAAAATAATGCCATCAGTACCTTTGTGGAAATTAGCTGCAGCAAATGGACCATTTGTTAGAATTGCTGCTCTTAGTGGAGCCACAGCTGTAATTCTTGGTGCTTATGGATCCCATAGTAAGATCAAAAAACCTATTTAACACAGTACAATATTTTCCTACTTAAATATTTTATATTGTAATTCTCTCAATAAATTTTCTGTCAATTTGTATCTTATATATTTTATATATATAAACTAAAATATAATTATAATAAAAATATTAATATAATATAAAATAATAAACTAGAAAAAGAAAAGAAAAAACAAATTTTGGACTTTTTAAATAAGATATGTATATAAAATAATTTTCACTTATTATGATTTCAGAGGAATATTCAATGCACGAAAAAGAAAATTGTAAACAAGTGTTTGAAACTGGTAGTCGTTACCATTTCATTCACACATTAGCCTTACTTGGATTACCTCTTTGTAGAGCACCTTATATGGTATGTTCAACTTCGATAAAATATTAGTATCAGCTATTTTCATTATTATATTTATTATTATTATAATATTATTTAGGCTGCAACATTCCTACTATCTGGAATAATACTATTTTCCGGAACTTGCTATTATTACGGTATTACCGGGAATAAACAATTAAATAAATTAACACCACTAGGTGGAGTCTGTTTCATTTTAGGATGGTTAAGCATGTGCATTTAAAATTTGAAAAAACATGGGAATATTACATTATATATAAGTAAGGAAATATAATTAATAAAAAAAAAACAAAAAATTGGGTTTCCAATTACTGTATGTATGAGTAAATGCTAATATTTTTGTTTTGGATAAATTATCTTTTGGCAATTTAAAACTGCTTTTATGTTTTTTGTTTGTTTCTTTTTTTTGTTATGTGTGCTATTTACGAAATATTATTGATTAGAAAAAATATTTCGTTCATAAGCAACATTTGTATTTTCATTTATTCAAAATTACTAAAGAAATATAATATAACCTAAATAAAAGTAAAACTTGTTTATCCTAATGAATTGATGTGAACATAACTATTATTTATAACATTACTGATATATGTTTAAATAATATCCTAAACTATTATACATGATATTTTGTATTTATAAGTTGTCATATTTTACATATTTTATGAATGGTTTTTTCTTCTGTGTTATTTATACATTACCAGTTATAATTAACTGTTATTTATTAGAAGTGTAATGTAAAAATATAACATGTTTTATCATAAAATATGTGAAAATTATTAAGTATAAGAACATTGGATAGTGACTAAATAAATTTGATGGTGTTAATGCTGAAAAAAAGATATTGCAGAGTTGGAACAGAACTTTGAAGCAATCTTAGTTTTATTTTAAAAATCAAAATGATGATTATTTAATACCAATTAACGCAAATGATAATTTACTGATTAAGTACCATATAGATAAAATTGAAGATCAAAAAGTGATGTATATATATATTGATCACTTCAAGCAATGGTACACAATATAAATGTAAAACAAATAGTCGCGTATTATTTTTTTTCTACTTTTGATCAATTCATGTTTTCATAATTTTTGTATAGAATCGTATTTCTACAGATATAAGAAAGTAAAGTACCTTGTATAATCCATTTGATACACCAGCTTCGCTGACTTTTATATCCATTCTATTTCGTATTATACAGTTGTCGTACATGTTTCATAAATAGATATTTTGCCTGTAAATAAGTGGATATAAGAATTTTCTTCGATTCATATATCATTACGATGACTTGATCTGACGATGTTGGCTGCATTCTTACACAGCTAAGTAAAATATTAATTGGACTATCTTACCTAGAATAAAAGTATCAAATAAGTTTAATTGGTGATACATCGAATAAACTTAAATATAGGAGTGTCGCACGTCAAATCGTGCAGTGCCCGCATACTGAAAACTAAGTAGCGAACACAAGAGATCGATTACGAAATTAAAACGATAATCGTAAACACGCAATTATATTTGGAGTTATTGTATTTTTTATGATGATGAAACATGAGCTATGTCATTAGCGCATATTTTTTTCTTATTAATCTTGACTCGTGATTTCATTGCAATCTGTGAGGCATGAAATTGGCGATTTATGGCGATGCTAAATGCACCACTGATATAAAATTTACTTATATCTAATAGACGTCCCCTCAGACTAAATTATATTTAATTAGTATAGAGTTTCGTAGCAATATCATTTTCTTGTTACTATTATATAAAGTATTTATATAGACTTGCGCATATTAAACTATATTTACAACTTTTATTAATTATTGTAACACATCAAAGATAAGTTTCCTAGAACAAGGCTGCTCCCTCGCTACCTGGTTCATAATACCACAAGAGGAAACTCATATAGTAGAGCTAATATCATCTTTGCACTTTTTTTTTTTTGATAAAATATATCACAATCCATATTTATAAGTAAAAAGATAAACATCAAATTAGAATTTATTTAAATGAATTGTCACTAAAATCAAGGAAAAAGTATCTTCGAAAAAAGCTCATATAAAGTGCAAATATACGATTACTGAGTTTTAAACAAAACGCAGCTATTTGTTTAAATATTTTAAATGGTGTTTGAAGAATTTTTTTCAATCTGGACAATGCGATAGCAAAAGAGCAAATGGCGCGCCGGTTTTCCATCCATTTCTAGGAAAGGTGGAACGAATGTTGTCCTTCTTGTGCAGCTATTCGCAATTTTTCTCGCATTATTTCTAATGTTGTGTAATCAGGCAATTTTAAGTAATTAACACAAGTCATTACGGATGGTAAGAAATCGTCTGTTTTCATAGACGGATCGAATGTTTTACGCACTATCGTTAATGGTGGTGTTAAACTCTTGAAACCTGTAAAATAAAATTTTGTTATATATTTTTAGAAATTTCTAAGGATACTAATTGTTATACAGTACTAAAAATTTACCTCCAACTGGTAACCGAGGTGAACCTGTGACGAACTGAACGAACTGCCTTTGTTCTTCACTATTATATTTTGACATAACTTCAAACAGAAAACGAATAGCACGAGAATCTGGTGTATAACCATGATCAGTCCTGCAACACTCCGAAAGCGTTTTCACATCCCATTGTCCACCTGATTGTGCATGTCCACAGAACACAGCTTCAAGTTCTTCAGGGAAGAATAGTCTTAATTGCGATGGTGGGAATACAGATTCAAATCCTTCCCTAAATGCTTCCATTTGTCTGAAGACACCTTCGTATAAGAACCAATGTACCACCAACTGACAAATTTTAAATATAGTTAATCGTACAGAAAAAATTCATTAATGCATAATTATAATAAAAATACCTTAATGTATTGATCTAAGTTATAAATGGTAACGGGTATTTCGCTTCCACCTTTTCTTAATTCGATGTTCTCGTAACCTGGTAATTCAAAAACAAGGCCAAGATCCGTAATTAAACAACCATCTAAATTTAGTGACTCTATCAGTTGTGTCTTTTCATGTGGCCTTAATATTTGATCTTTTTCAATTGTTTCCTTTTGTCTAATAATTTCTTGAAATCTACTAAGAGTTCGATGTACATCAGGACATACATGTGCTAAGTCAGTTAATGTTAGCATATGTTCTTCTCCCAATAACCAGCGGTAGAAAGTTAAACTGAATGGTAAATCCAACTGCAAAACATTATATGCACAAAAATATATATTGAGAATCATAAAAAATACCTTAACATAGTAACTAAAATAAAAAGTAATACCATTCTCGAATCATATATGGCCTTTGCCATAAACTTTCCAAGAAACTTAAATTTTGTTTTAAGTTTTGCAAGATGAGACACTTTAGTGTTCCATGCAATTGGCATTGAGAAAAGTCCTTGTGGAATATTAACATATCCTGTCTCAGTAGGATTTGAACTACCATGCCAAAGATCAAGATCAGCACGTTGTAATTCCTGGGAGACTAGAGCATAAAATTCCAATGTTGGACCAAGACCAGTACCAACCTGCAAAATTATACTTATAAAGTAATAACTTAATTGTACACAAAATAAATTACATATAATGTGCAAAAAATAAACCTCATTGACATATTGCACTTCAAGCAAGGCTTTGCTAGATGCTAAGTCTTGTATAACTAGCTCTGCTTGTTTCAGGATATCAGTTCTGGAAATAGTTCTTTTTCTTCGCTCTAAACGTGGAGTAACGCGTTCTTGACTATCTGAACCTGACAATTCTGGAGCGGAATCCAAGAGCCGTTGCAAAGCTCTATCTCGATCAAATGATGTTGCATAAAGTAATAATTGTCTTGTTTCAAAAGGAAACAAGAACGGGCTGCAAATATTTGAAAATACAATAATTTGATAAATTCATATTAGAAAATTATTGCGAATTTCGTAGTACTTACCATACTGTAGCAATTTGTTGTAACCATAGAGGTAAATTTCCAGTCATAATCACTAAAGGATCTTGCAATTGTCGACTAGCTTTTGCAGCTATTTTATTGTTAATGAAGTCCTGTGGAGAAAGTAAACTTAAACCTTTCAGATGAGGAAATAGAACACCCCAATGACGATTTAAAGCGTGTAAGAGACGTAGTAGACATAATCCGTCCAATGAAGCATCAGTAATGGTAACCGAAGCTGGTAAGGTAGGTAACAAGTAAGGATCGAGTGGACATCGTTGTGAAGGAACTGTTCCTTCAAGCCATAAATTATCCTCTTTTCGTTTTGAACTGATCTTTGTACTTTTTCCTTTGCCTTTCCGACTACTACCCTGTGTACTTGATCCTGGTTTCGGTGATGTTGCAGATTCTTCCTCTGGTACAGGCCTAAATGAACAAAAATTATTTATTTCCTTTACCTTCCTTTTTTTTTTAGTTAAGAAGAAGAATAAAAATGAAGAAGTACCTATAATAAATTGTATGAGTTTGAACCCAAACGGCATCATGACCAAGTGGTGGCTCGCCATCAGCTTCTGCTTCAGAATGATCCATGCCAGTACAACCAAATTGTCTAACAGCTTGATAAACAGTCATATTGAAAGGCAGTACTTCATCTCCAATTAAAAATTGGAGTTTATGTTTTGCTGATCCTTGACTTATAACTACTGCTGCCTATAAAATTAAATATGCTTAAAATATTTTTAGTTATGTACACTGAAAAAAAAAAATAAAAAAATAAAAGATGTACATATATATACACAAATATTACCAATGTATCATCTATATCATCTTCACTATTGTCGTCGTCACTAACCATAGATTCTGCTTCTCGTATTCTACCATACCCACGAACCATCAAATAACGCTCAATTGCTTGTACTAATGCAAGGGGATCTATCTTAACAGTGCCCCCTTTCCACTGTTTTAAGTTGTTACACTCTGGATGTCGTTGAAGATTACACTATCAAATCATAAATTAAATGATGACTTATAAATGATTTATAAATATATTTTAAAAATTAATTTTACTGTACTTTGAGTTGATGTGTATTGAAGAATTTAAGAGCACTAGTGCCTCCACGACCAGCACCAGATCCTGCTGGCAAATCATGTACTTTTACAGGAAATTGTTCCAATTGTGCAACACAGCTATTCAATTTTGTTACTAGAGCACCAAATGCTCCAGGATTAAGATCGGTAATATTCACATCGTACTGCAACTAAAAATCAAACAGTTATCAAAAGAAAGGACGGAAAGACTTTAATATAAGTCATACTACAT